TTAAGCAGCATGGCTTAGACCAAGGGTCGCCAAAGTATGGCCTGCAGGCCATATGCCACCCATCTGGCCTTTTTATCTGGCCCGTGTGTGTGCGCACAGGGACATGAGTTTGGGTGTGTGGGAGTGGGTGTGTGCACATGCATACAGGTGCATGTGCATGCTCCTTTGGCCCTCAAAAATATTTCAAATATATTATGCGGCTCTCTGAAAAGTTTGGAGACCCCTGGGTTAGACTGAATCTGGCATCCTCTTGCTGCCTCCTGAAACTTTGCCAAGATTAGAAGAAATCAGCAGCTGGTTGAGCCCTTCTCTTCCAAAACTGCATTACAATGATGTACTTGCAAGACTGCAGTCACCTTAACAAATCTGATGCAGACTAGAAAGATATGGGGCATTTGACCTTTCTCAAGGTTTTGTCCTTCAGTTGAGCTTTGCACACACCTCCTTCAAGTACTACAAGCCCTTTAACGGGGACCATCTTACAGATTGGCACTTATGGAATTTAACACACACATATATGCATAGTAATGGTTCCTTTTGCATGAATGTTTTGCACAGACCTATTCAGACTACAGTACAGCTCACTTATATATGCATGGGAAGACAGCTAGGCAGACTTCGCAGTCTGCCCTTTTCTAGTGTATGTGGGAAGAGAATATATCTCAAGCCAATGAGGTTAAAATTTTGAATACAGACAATTAATATAAAGACAAGGATCCAACTAAATGTACAGTATTTGCCAATGTAAATTTCAGTGGTGAATTGCCGCGAATTAAGAAGTTGCAATTTGTATTTCTTGCTTTACCTAAAGTCACATGACTGGTGTGTAAGTAGACATATGACTTCCTAACTAGTGCCAGTTCACCTCTGAAATAGTATGCTGTTGGGTGTCATGCTGGCAGATGTGAGTAATGAGATTCTGGCCATAAAGTGTTTAAAATTGCAAATTCTTAGTGTGAGAAGATCACAAAGTAGGAGGAATTTTCCTTGTCTGGCTGAGCAGGTGTGTGGAATACTCATGTGACAAGTGATAAATTCTCTGTTACATGCCAAATGCCTCTGTTCATAGTACAGCGGTGCCTCGCATCACGACATTAATTCGTTCCAGCGAAATCACTGTAGAACGAAAACGTTGTGATGCGATTTTAAAAAGCCCATAGAAACGCATTAAAACCAGATTAATGCATTCCTAGGGGCTTCAAACTCACCGTCCAGCGAATATCCTCCATAGCGCGGCCATTTTCGCTGCCTGTGCAGCGAGGAATCTGTGCTAAAACACAGCGGGTGGCATTTTGTTTACCAGGTGGCCATTTTGGAACCGCCGATCAGCTGTTAAAAAATCATCGCTTTGCAATGATCGGTTCCCGAAGCAGGGAACCGATCATCACAAAGCGAAATTCCCCCATAGGGAACATCGTTTTGTGATTACTTTTGAGATCGCAAAAAGTTCGTCATGATGCAATTTCATTGTCAAACAGAGCGCCTGTCTTGTGGGGTACCACTGTACTAAAATCTGTCAGGTGATAGCAGTTTTCCTATAGAAAAGATACTTTGCTAAATGTTTGTTTCAGATTAATCACTATTCCAGGTGTTTTGTTTTGACTTGCAATCTGAATTTAAAAAAAAATATTTAGCATCCACTTACTATTATTCTGCTGCTCGGAGCAGAATTGGGAGGGGCAATTTTCTGAGATTCCTGCTGCTTCTGAAGCTTGCCATCTAGTCCAGATCTGCTCTAGATGGTGCCTAGAGCAAATTCTGGTGAGTTATTTTGGAAAGGAGGGAGAACGACTGAAAATTGTCCTCCTCTTCAGTTGCATGGACGCATGCCTCCTTCAATCACAGAGGGGGGTACTAGTTGGATGTTATCAATTTGTTTTGTCTGTGTATGTCAAATCCAAATGAATCAACTTGGTTTTTTATTTGGATTGGTCTTGTATTTGTAGTTTGAGTTTCTGTGGATAAAAGTTTTTAAAAAACCATTAAGTCCAAGTTTGAACCTGCTGAGTTTATTTAATACTATCTTGGTATCCATTTATGATTACCAATGAATTTTATGAAACAGTAGCTGAAAACCTGTTGAAATGTTATGTGAAAGATGTATGTTTTTATCTGGACCAGTTTAAGGTATCTCTGTAGACATTATCTGTTGCATGCTGGGTCACATGACTTGGGATAGTGTCTACAAAAATTTCTTAACTTGAGGCAATTAGCCTCCAAAAGTTATGCCTTTAGCATAAAAATTCTGTAGTATTCCACCCAGTTTGTATTTGATAATGCAGAATATCCTGCAGAAAAGAAAATTAACCCATATTGATTATCATTATTAACTCTTAATATATTTATGCTTAATATTATAATCGAAATCCTTTTTGATAAGGCTGTAGCTGTCATATCTTGTAGCAAAAAATCTACAGTATTCACTAATTATAGTGAATATGGGGAAGAAATTTTAAAAAATGAATATCTGATTGTTTGAATAACTATGGATTTGTTTTCTGACAGTAAATATTACTTTATTGGTACTATGAATTCCTTTATATAGCTGTATATACTGTGCTAGCCATTTCCTATCTTCTTTTCAAATGAATAAAAATTGTAGAAAACTTCTACATAGACATTATTCCTATGATTGATAGCTTCTAGACTATTTCTCCTTCAGTTCAACCCCAGCTTTTTATTTGTAGGAAGAATTTCTCTCCCTCTGTAATGCAGGATAGCGACCTACATACACTTGCCCTGCGCAAGCCTCTGTGCAACATGCAGGATTCATTAGTCGTTTTCCACAGTACCCAGTTATTTTACTAGGTAATGTGTACAACTCTTCCAGAGGACTAATCAATTTGCTGTTGTGAGGACTACAGCGTGAAGAATTGAGTTTAGAATTTACTTCACTGACATCTGCTTCTGGATTTGCAAACATTTTGTTACTTAGAATATTCCCACACAACACAATGTTTTGAAGCTGACTTCAGTTTGAGTAGGTGACTCTGCTTGTGACCACCCAAGATTAGTCATTCTGTATTTTTTACAACAAATATGGTATGTTGTGAAAGATTATAAAGTTATGATCTTTGAGTTTGCAAGGAATTTGAAAATGGAAAAAGGGTGCAGTGTTCAGAGCCTCCATGGCCCAGGTAATTAGAGATGAATTTGGCATCTTGGGCTAGTTCTCGGTCATCTTAAGATATGTTATTACTGGAGCAAGTTAGTTCAAATGAATTCAGTCAGATTCTCCAAGATATGTCTAAATGAAAAAGTGACTAAAACTTCAGGGAAAAATTGGTTACAAAATTTCTCAAATTTGCTTCCAAATTATTGTCTGGGTGTGAAGGCTGTGTGTCCAGTGTCAATATAAGAAGCATTTTAAAACAAAGAATAGGAGTTCATTTTTTTGAACTCTGGCTCCCAGATTTCTCTAAGCATTCCCAAGAAGAATATTCCCAGGAGTTCCATCCACAGACAAATGCCTACAGACACCTAATTTCAATCACATGGAATAGGACCAAGCTTGGAGTTCTGTGTTTCTTGTTAATGTACAAAGTGCCCCAGTGCTTCTTGGGATGCCTAGGTCCTCAGGGGAGGTATTGCTGCCCTATATAGACCCTAATGGGCAGTGAGATTATATCTCCCACAGAGACTTAGACTTCCCACATAGCACTAAGAATTTTTTTCTTGTACTTTAACATCAGGAAAGCCTTTGAGGCCCTGTTCCAAGTGGGTAAAATTTAATTTATTCTTCGTGCTCTCTGTGAATGCACATGAATGGGTTAAACTGTGCCTGCGCAGGACTCAGTTGGGACAGAGTTCTCCTTGTATGTGTTTTATTTTTTGATTCCTTGTGGTGACATAGGCTTTTCCTGTTTTGTTTTTGGAGTTTTCATTTGAGTAATTTCCAATGTGTGTTCTGTTAAAGGGGTGTGTGTATTCTGTATATATATAGTCCAGAAGCAGAATATATATATATATACAGTATTCTGCTTCTGGACTAAAAAAGCAAAGTGTGCTACTAATATACCACCCGATAGTGTTTAAACCCTTCTCTGGGCAGTTTACAATTTAATTATGTAAGCTACACATTGCCCTCCCCCTGTGAACTGGATACTCAATTTACCAACCTCTAAAGGATGAAAGACTGAGTGAACTTCGAGTGGCTACCTGGGATTGAACCTGGATTGGGAGCAGAATTTGTGCTGCAGTACTGCAGTTTAACTACTGCATCATGAGGCTCCTAATCCTCTCTGGCCTTATTTTATCTACTGGGTAGTTTTTGCAAGTTCTTTAAGATGAGTGACAGTTATAACAGGTATGGGGTAAAACCAAGTGAAATAATGCTAAACAGGTGGTCACTTTTGTATTAAGTGAAAGGACTGGTACGTGAAAGACATGGAAATGAGACAGGCATCCCCTGAAATGAGACAGAAACCAATGTTTTTGCTGTGCACATTCCTAATATAGACACACTTGCATGGATACGCGGATGAGATTAAGCTGTCCATTTTTCAGAGCGCAGATGCAGAAATTTCTGACCAAGATGAGATGTAGTTGAACATCTTGATGCACTAGGGGTCAGCTGTTTTCCTTTGGAATCTGTTTTTTGAAGTTATTTTGTTCATGGATGGTTACCTTGAAGTCAGAGACAAAATATCCAGGGAATTTTTCGTAATTCCAGTGGTTAGAGAACCCTTTTGACACCAGGGACTAGTTTAGTTGAAGACCATTCTCCCAAGGACTGGGGGGGGGCAGTTGGTGGGTGTCCGTGCATGCGGGAGTAGGTGGGTACATGCCTGCGTCCATGCTGGGGGGGGGCTTCCTTCATTCTGGAGGCAGGTAGGTGTGTGTGGGGGTAGGCAGGTGAGTGGGAGGAAATGTGTGCGCGTTCCTTTAGCCCTTGAAAATCTATCTGTGGCCTGGTCCTTCTAAGGCCACGGATCGGTACTGGCCCCCGGGGTTGGAGACCCTTGCCCTAGCTTATTATTGTTTTCTTTTTTCTATTGTAGCTCCTGTTATCAACAGATACAACAGAAGAGTATCAGGTAAGCTTTTATTTGCAATTTTCATAATAGAAAGCCGTCTTAAAATAACTGTGGAGTAACCTCTGTAACTCAGCAGCTGAATGTGCATTTCCTTTGTTGGCAAAGTTGATGAGTATGTTTTAAAATCATTCCTCAGTCTTTAGTAGAATAAATGTAACCATTTCTTCTGCTTAGATTTTCATGTAGGTTAATTTAGTCTTGCTTTAAGTAAACAGAAGATTATTTACACAGTTTTCTGGGTAATGTCAGTTCTAACATAGGTTTTATGTCATCTGCTATGCCAGTTTCTGAAAGAACCATAAGTAAGTGTCTCCTTGGTGGTCCATCTTATGGTCAGCAAAGCTCAATATAAATGGCCATCTCTGCTTCTGATACTTTCAGAGCAGAAGAGCCACCAATTTGCCAATAATTATGTGTTTACTATTATCATTTGTTGGTTTGTACTTAATAACTTGATCCTATTTTCGAATAGTCTACTGTATAGTTTTGGATATGTAACGTACCATTTCACAAATACTTGGTCTTGTAGTCCTACAGTTCCTCCTTTAACTGTATCTGTCACAGTCTTCCTGTCTGTGGCCATATACCTTCATTATTTAGGCTCCATGCTCTTTGTCAGTTGGCCTTTTTTGCTCCTGAAATCAAGTCACGTTGCTCTGAAGTTCAGTATAGCTTGCTTGGCATCTGAGGGACAGGGAATTTCTTAAACTGCTTGAGAAATTTGGGAGGAAACTAGCAGAAATTAGCATATTATTGTATAGCCAAAAAAGAGGGAATTTATTCTTCATTTTTCCTTGTGAAAGATCTTTAGGTACATTTTTACCAAGTTACTAGTGTGCATCAGAATCAGACCTGCAACTGGTCAGAGAAGGACTTCCAAAATTACAACTCAGTCCTCCCTAGTACTTGAAGATTTCTAGCAGGAATGCTTTTCAGAACCATATTACACTGGTTCTGAAAGAATTGCACTGGCTGTTAATATGCTTCTGATCTGAGTTCAGATTATTCATGGCACGTAAAGCTCTAAATGGGTTGAGACCTGGATACTTGAGAGAGTGGTTCTTCCTGTATATACTTCGTCAATTGCTGTGTCTTGCCATAGAGAATTATCCATTTAATAAAGAAGTTGGGAAGATCTTAGCTGTGGTATCTCAATTACAGATTATTCTCCCCTTAGAAGCTTGACTGGTGCTGACATTAACCTCATTTCAGTGCCAAGGTAAAGCATGAAGTTAAAACATGAAATCATTCACTAAAGCCTTCAGGGATGAGGAATCATAGCTTCAATAGGCTGTGAATGCTCCTCTGCTGCTGTTGTTTTAATGCATGTAGTCCTAAATCATTGTAAAGTATTGAAACAGTATTACTGTTCTGCTTTGGCTGACCTCAGCTGGGATACTTTATGTATGTATGTATGTATGTATGTATGTATGTATGTATGTATGTATGTATGTATGTATGTATGTATGTATGTATTTATTTATTTATTTATTTATTTATTTATTTATTTATTT